CGGGAGTCCTCTACTCCTCAAGAACAGGTGGACTTCATCGCCAATGCTCGGTGCCTTGACCCAAATAGTAATACATACAATGAGGGGTGGCGCCAGCATCCCAACTTTGCTTGGAACAGCAACGCCACTAAACCACCTAGTTTCCCAGCACCAGCGGGTGGATTTCAGCAGAGGCAGCCCTTCCAGGCTAGGCAGGGGCCCCCACCACAGCAGCAGCCCTATCAGCCTAGGCAGGGGCAGCCATTCCAGCAGCCCCAGCGTCAGTACGCCCAGCCTCCAGCAGCTGCAGCTCCAGATAATCAGATGACGGATCTGAAAAATATTTTGCAGGCATTCATGACCACCAGCCAGGCGAATTTCACGAGGATGGATCAGAACATAGCCTCACTGGAGGCATGCCAGAGAAACCAAGCTGCCATTCTGCAAGATCTACAGAATCATATTGGGAGCTTAGCTCGCCAAAACACTACTAGGGCACCGGGGACTCTGCCTGCCACCACTATTCAGAACCCTCGTGAACCACACCAGCAGCTGGATGCCATCACTACCAGGAGTGGCAAGACCATATCTGCTACTCCCGCCCAGCCCGGGCGAGACGAGCCACTACCTGCTTCAACGCCTCCAGCTGATAATGCAGAAGTGGGGGAAGGCAGAGAAGCACCTGCTCCCAAGCCGCAGCCTGTGGTTAAGGAGCATGTACCCCAGTTGCCCTTCCCCACTCGCCTTCATAAAGACAAGCTGGAGACAGAGTTTGCCAAGTTCATGGCAATGTTGAAGTAGGTCAACATCAGCATGCCGTTCGCGGAGGCACTGTCGAAGATGCCCAAGTATGCCAAATTCATGAAAGACCTCCTCACCAACAAGAAGAAACTTGGGGTTCTTTCGACAGTGATACTAAGAGAGGAGTGTTCTGCTATCCTGCAGAACAAGCTGCCCGAGAAGCGCAAAGACCCAAAAAGTTTCACTATCCCTCTTGTTATTGGCAGCATGCATGTAGGAAATTCCTTGGCGGACCTAGGCACTATCATAAATGTCATGCCTTACAAATTGTTTAAAAAGCTAGACCTAGGTGAACCTAGAGCTACTATGATGAGCATTCAGTTAGCTGATCGTTCCATCGTGCATCCTAGGGGTATCATTAAGGATCTGCTTGTTAATGTCGGTGCATTCACTTATCCTGTTGACTTTGTTATTTTGGATATAAATGAGGATGTGGATGTGCCTTTGATTTTGGGTAGACCGTTTCTCGCCACCGCCAAGACGCTTATTGATGTGCATAGTGGTAAATTGATCATGCGTGCTGGTGATGAACAGGCTACTTTTTCTGTGTCTGAGAATGGGAAACACTCTCATTTGCATGATGACATAGATTACTGTGATGTGCTTACTGATTTTGAGACAGCACTCGCCATAACGAGTGCGGGTACTGACGATGCTCTTGAGCGTTGTATTTTGCTAGGTGAGCAGGCATCGCAGAAGCCGCAGCTGGCGGAGCAGCTGCCCACATTGGAGAGTGGCCCATTCTTAGAGGGCGACAGGCTGTTCAAACCAATCTCATCCTCCACCCGCATCACTACCTCCTTGGAGGAACCACCAGAGCTGGAGCTTAAGCCCCTCCCTCCTCATTTGGAGTATGCATTTCTCCGGGAGGGGAATAAGTTGCGAGTCATCATCTGCTCGACCCTCACACCCGAGCAGAAGAACAGACTGGTGGCCTTGCTGAAGCAGTACGAGCGAGCTCTAGCGTGGAAGATCACAGACATCCAGGGGATCAGCCCCTCCTTTTGCTCCCACCGGATACTGCTAGAGGATGAGATGCGGCCAGTGAGACAGCCGTAGAGAAGATTGACACCGAACCTGGAGGCGGTGGTTCGGGCAGAGATCGTGAAGCTGATGGACGCGGGGATCATCTTCGCCATTTCCGACAGCGAGTGGGTCAATCCCACCCAGGTGGTACCCAAAAAGGGTGGGATGACAGTGGTACCTAACGAGAAGAATTAGCTCATCCCGATGCGCACGGTAACTGGGTACCGTATTTGCATTGATTATCGGCGTCTCAACGACGCCACTCGGAATGACCACTTCCCGCTGCCGTTCATTGACCATATGCTAGAGCGATTGGCGGGACATGAGTTCTATTGTTTCCTGGATGGGATGTCCGGGTACTTCCAGATCCCTATTGCACCGGAGGACCAGGCGAAGATCACTTTCACCTGCCCCTTCGGCACATTTGCCTACCGGAGGATCCCATTCGGGCTATGTAACGCCCCCGCCACTTTTCAGCGATGCATGCTCGCCATCTTTGACCGTCTGGTTGGCGAGATTATGGAGGTGTTTATGGACGATTTCTCAGTTTATGGAGACTCATTCTCTCACTGTCTCCATAACCTGGAGCTTGTCCTTAAACGGTGTGAAGAAACGAACATGGCAGTAAGTTGGGAGAAGTGTCACTTCATGGTTCAAGAAGGCATCGTTCTTGGGCATAAGATCTCCAAGATAGGGATTGAGGTGGACAGAGCGAAGATCGAGACTATCAGCAAGCTGCCTCCCCCTACATCTGTTAAGGGGATCCGGAGTTTTTTAGGTCATGCAGAGTTCTACAGGCGGTTCATCAAGGATTTCTCGAAGATCGCCCTGCCCCTGACTAAGCTTCTAGAGAAGGATGCCCCCTTCCAGTTCACTGATGCATGCACAGCGGCGTTTACAACCTTGAAGGAGAAGCTCACCCAAGCTCCTATCATGGTTGTTCCTGACTGGTCCCTACCATTTGAGCTGATGTGCGACGCCAGTGACTTTGCTGTTGGAGCTGTCTTGGGGCAGAGGCGAGATCAACACTTTCGACCTATCTACTACGCCTCGAAGACCCTCAATGATGCCCAGAAGAACTACACCACCACGGAGAAGGAGCTGCTCGCAGTGGTGTTTGCCTTCAACAAATTTTGTCTCTATCTAGTCTTGTCCCATGTGACCGTGTATACAGATGACTCCGCGATTCGATACCTGATGAGCAAGGCCGAAGCCAAGCCTAGGCTCATACGATGGATATTATTATTGCAGGAGTTTGACATTGAGATTCAGGACAAGAAGGGAGCGGAGAATGTTGCAGCTGATCACCTCTCCTGGTTGGACGCACCTCCTGCAGACAACCTCATGGAGGAGATCAACGACTCCTTCCCATATGAGCGACTGATGATGATGTGCCTGGTGGAGAGTGTCACCCCCTGGTATTCCGATTTTGCGAACTACTTGGTGGGCCAGCAGCTGCCCAAGGGGATGACAACTCACACCAAGAGGAAGTTCTTCTCTGACCTGAAGCATTACTTCTGGGATGACCCTCATCTCTTCAGGATCGGAGCCGACGGGATCATTCGTCGCTGTGTTATGGAGAGTGAGATGGAGGGCATTCTATATCACTGTCATGAGGAACCTACTGGCGGTCACCACGGAGGAAACCTCACGGCAAGGAAGGTGCTCCAATCGGGCTTCTACTGGCCCACGCTCTTCAAGGACGCTGACACCTTCGCACGCCGGTGCGACCGATGCCAGAGGTCAGGTAACATCTCTGCCCGTGATGAGATGCCCCAGAATGTGTTTATAACCAGTGAAATCTTTGATGTCTGGGGTATCGACTTCATGGGCCCCTTCCCTCCATCTTTTGGCAATACCTATATTCTGGTTGCTGTTGACTACGTCTCTAGGTGGGCCGAGGCGCAAGCTTTGCCCACTAATGATGCTAGACGTGTTTGTGGTTTTCTGAAGCAGCTATTCTCCTGGTTCGGGACACCTAGAGCCATCATAAGCGATCGAGGCACCCATTTCCAGGGCCAGTTTGATAAGTTACTGTCGCGCTATGGTGTAACTCACAAGGTGTCTATGGCCTATCACCCTCAGACAAGTGGCCAGGCCGAGCGGACGAACCGGGAGCTCAAGAGGATCCTGGAGAAGACGGTGGATCAGTCCTGCAAGGATTGGTCCACCAAGCTCGATGATGCTCTCTGAGCGTATCGCACTGCCTACAAGACACCCATTGGTACTTCACTGTACCGGCTTGTCTATGGAAAGGCATGCCATTTTCCCGTGGAGATAGAGCACAAGGCCTTCTAGGCCCTTAAGCTGCTCAACTTGGATGTTAGTGTTACAGGTGTTGAGCGCAAAATGCATATGCTGGAGCTGGAGGAGTGGCGTTACCACGCCTATGAGAACACAAAGCTGTACAAGGAGCGCACTAAGTGCCTGCACAATGCACGGTTGAGGGGTCCGGAAGAGTTCCAGGTTGGTGATCGAGTTCTCCTTTATAACTCTCGCCTGAAGCTCTTTCCCAGAAAACTCCGTTCCCGGTGGTCTGGACCGTACACGGTCACACAGGTGTTCCCGTATGGCATGATTGAGATTGCCAACCCGCATATTGAACCATTTAAAGTGAATGGCCATCGTCTCAAGCTCTACTTGGGAGGCGAGGTCGAACGTGCGGAATTGGCAGTGGACTTCGCGGACCCTTAGTTCCGCCATGGTCGTCCAGCTAAAAGACGGTAAAGAAGCGCTTGTGGGGAGGCAACCCCACCACGGTTTGCATTTCTTTTTCCCTTTTTTATGAGTTTTTGTGTCATGTTGAGTCAGTTGCATGTCTGTGGTGAAGTTAGGTCGTCACTGATGCCTCGATTTGGTGTTTTCGTGCAGGGGAGGTTGAAAATTTTGGAGAATGAGCATTTTGGGCGGAAGGGTAAAATACCCGGTCGTGAGCCAAAATAACCGACCGGGTATTTTTGGCTCGAGACCGGGCCCCCTTCTGCCTTCCGGGGCGCCCGAAAGTCAAATCCCCAACCTCGAGCCAAAAATACCCGACCGGGTATTTTTGGCTTGAGACCGGGGATTTCCAGACCTTGACACGCAGCATTTCAGGACCCCCTACCGGGTATTTTTGGCGCGCGACCGGGGAATCCTTCGTCCCACTAAATGCTGCGTTGTCAAAATCCCCGGTCGTGGACTCAAAATACCCGACCGGGGATTTTTGCTATTTATAGCAAACCCCTGGTCAGTTTCTCTCTCTACCCTCATTTTTCAAAATGTTCCCCTCTCTCTTCCTCTCAAATCCTCTCCCCTCTCTCTTCTTGAGTGCCGCCGGCAGCCGCGCTCCGCCGCCCTCGCCGCCGCCCGGCCGCCGCCGCCGCCGGTCGTTTTCTGGCGACCTTCCGGCCATTTTCCGGCGAGCCTCCCGGGTCATTTTTGGCCTCCGTCTCGCGTCCCTCACCCGTTTTTTTAGCCTTAGCTACAGTTCTACTTGCGTTTTCAGGTGTGTTTCTTGTTAACTGCTCTTTTACTGAAAAATCGAACTGTAGACTGTAGGACCGAGAACTGTAATTGCCTGCATGATTTAGAATAGGTTGAGGGATGCTTTAAGTATGCATGGTTCTATCTATGGTGTATGTGCTTCCCGTGTAATTAATGTGGTTGGTTCTGTGTTTCTTGCCTTGATTCCGGCTGAGTTGCTTGCTATTCAACCGGCTGTGCTTAGAACTGTTGGCCTAGGTGGTCCTTAAGTGTGGGGGAAGTGATGAACCCATGCTGTTGGTCCTGACAAGTTTTTTCTTGGCTCCACCTTTGGTTTGTTGCTTTTGCAGGAGCATGTCCCTCGACCATCCATTTGTGCAGAACCTGCGCCAGCACCCTGAATACGCGGACCAGTTCTGCGCGATGACTTGGGGGAAATTGGCGCGCCACCACCATCTGGAGTGGGCAGTGTTCGAGCAGCTCCACTGCATACAGAAGCTCACCGCTGCCATCAGCCACCGCGATTAGCGAACGCTGCTGACTATCGAGGAGCCCACCTACACTGAGCTGGTGTGGGAGTTCTACACCACTTTCAAGTACGACAGCAGAGCGCCCCGGGATTCGTATGCAGTGACATTCAGGCTGGGTGGCCACCCCCGGGAGCTGACCATTGATGGGTTGGCCTAAGCCTTGGGGATCGAGTACCACCTGTTCGACCGCCACGAGGTCGAGATCCCGCACCCGACCGACTGGAACCAGGACGAGTTCTATCGCCGGATAGCCAGGCGCGCCTATAGGTATGACTACTTCGATGCTGGCCAGACATTTGTCCGCACCCTCAAGCCACAGTGGCACATCCTGAACCTGCTCATCACTCGCTCCATCGTCCCCAACGTCACCGGCTCGCATAAGATTCCGAAGCGGGTGCTGTATGCCATGTACTCGATGGGGTACCCGGAGCACATGCTCTACTTGGGTTCTTTCGTGGCCACCACCTTCTCCCGGTGCCACGGGAAACCCAACCACCTCTACTGTGGTCCCCTGATCACCCGTTTGGCGCGCCATTTCGACATCAGCTTCCAGGAACTTCATGACTCTTCTGCACGGGGCGGCTCCACCGCCCTCAGCCGGGAGGTGCTCCACAATGCACTCCTCCTGGCCACTGATGGCACCCGTACCTGGGTAGATGGGCTTTCCATGCCTCCTGAGGAGGCTGTGGATCTCGAGGAAGACGAGGAGGACACTGACTACTCCGGCGAGGAGGAGGATGTGGATGATGATGATGATGATGGCGGGGCCATGGATGCCGATGAGCTGGAGCCCCCGCTCTCTCCACCAGGGGACCTTCAGCCACGACGGAGACCAGGGAGAGGTGAGTCCTCCTCCGGTCCTTCTGGTCCGTCGATGGCTTCTGGCCCGTCGATAGACTTCTTCACGGAGCAGTTCCAGCAGATGGGGCTCCAGTTCTAGGAGCTTCGTCTTCAGAACCAGCACCTCATGGACCATCAGGTCCAGTTCTACCAGCAGTATTCGGCCCACCAGGCCGAGTACCAGTCCAGACGGACGGTTGTTGACGAGCGCCTCGGCCGCTTAGAGACCCATATGGGAGTCACGGGTGCTCTCATCGAGCGGGAGAGAGATCGAGGCCGCCGATTGATGGAGTACTCGGAGCACCTGCTCCAGACTTGTCACCCCCCCCCCCCCCAGAGGAGCACCACTGGACCACCTGGTGGGATCATTCGCCACCACCACCACCGGAGGATGGAGACGACGACCTCATGAACCAGATCGACTTCACCGGTCTAGGAGGCCCCTAGTGGCATGTTTTGAGTGTTTTTGTTTTTGTCAGCGTGCAAACTGTCTTGTGTCGGTTTAGTTTCTCACTTTTTATTTTGGATGTTGTACTATTGGGCTGACCATTGGACCTAACGTATTGTGTTTGAGCTCTTTGGTTTCCTTTAGCTGTGCTTATGCCTGACTGGTCCTCTCTCCAGTCCGCTTCATTCCGACTGTTCCACTTCCAGTCTCCTACAATCCGTGCACACCGGTAACATCGTTCCTCTTTTCCTTCCCTCTTCTCCATTGAGGGCAATGTCGATCTTAAGTGTGGGGGGATGTTTATCTTTTGACTGCGTTAGATCTGTTTGTGTGCTTGGAGCCTAGTCCACTGTCCAAATTTTTAAATTTGAGGGCTCCAAGTACGTGTTCCTTGCAATTGCCTGCTCAGTATGCTTTGAATTGACAGTCTCTTTAGTAATGTGCAACCTAGGGAGGTAGTGTATACTATGGAGGATGTTGATGCATTTAAGAAGTCTCCTTTCTTCTTCATATTGTGTTGGTTGATTGTGTGAATTAGTGATCTTAGGACCCTTGAATTGTGTGGTGTTGTGGACTCTCTACCTGGCATTGACTCCTGTATCATGTTTTTGAAATAAAAGGTGCTCGAAAAATGTGCTTTAAAATAACGTCTCCCGTGCGAATAGGGCGAAAGTGTGTAAGGGGAGACGGGAATCCGTTCCCAATTTCCACCTACTACCTCCAGCCCCCTTACATGTCTTTCCCCCGCACGAGGCTCGAGACATCCGCTCCTGGCATGGCCGGTAAGAGCCGGGCTCCCTCAAAACCTCTGCTAGGTGGGAGCCCCCATTTTTGAAAAGCAGGTTGGGACCCTTGAAAGAAAAAGGAAAAAAAACAGAAAAACAAGCAAAAAAAAAAAAAGGGGGGTTCCAACCATCTTCAAGAAGAAAATAGAGCACCTTAAAAAGGTGAGTCCATGATCCTTTGTTTTTGAGAGTCCGTTCGTCCACGATTCATTTGTCCTCTGTTCACTATTTGCCATGATGCCGACTCGAGACTAGCGCTCTCGCCGAAGAAGCTATGAGATGACTTGTGCGTCGGTTGACCTCGTAAGTTGCTAAATGATCAAGGAAATCCTCTACCTATGATCGGAGTTGTTGGGTGCTATAGAGGTCTGGAGAGTTGCATTGGTTTTAGTTAGGTTTGCTTGGGGACAAGCAAACGGTTAAGTGTGGGGGAGTTTGATAGACCAATAATTACACCTGTTTTACCCCTATTCTTGAGCCGTTTGAGAGGTTGACTCTCGTGTTTTAAGCCGATTTCACGCGAGGTTGTGTGTTTATGTCATATTTCAGGGCCCGGCGTTGGAATCGAGGCAAAGAAACGAGTTTTGGGTCGAAAGGAACGAAGTTGGGTCGAAGTGTGCTGCAGGAGGAAAATACCCGATCATGGGCTCAAATACCCGACCGGGTATTATCTGGCCATGACCGGGGATTTTTGGCTTTGGGCGTCCGTGAGAAACAGAAGGGGGCCCGAGCAGGAGGCAAAAACCCCCGGTCGTGGATTCTTGGGACAGACCGGGGATTTTCCACTGACATCAAAACGCGCGTTTTAATTATACCCGGTCGAGACCCAAAATACCCGACCGGGTATTTCGACAGCCAGCCTTTTAAGGGGAAAGAAGGGCAAAATCAAGGGGATTCGAGTTTTAGAGAGACAGAGCGATTCCTAGAGAGAGAAAGCGACGAACAAGAGTTCCCAAGTGCCCTAGCTTGATCTTCATCACCATTGGAGCCCGGCTTGAGCTTGGAGAAGTGACGATCGACGCCCAGGAGCAGAATTCCATCCTTCACAGTATGGTTTCCGCATCTGAATCTGCTTTTGCTTCTTTCTCCATGGAGTAGTTCTCCCATTCATCTGGGTATGGAGAACCCTAGATTTGTATGTTTGGTCTGATTGTATGAACCCAAGTACAGATTCTATGTTTTGATTATATTCAATTGAGGTTTGAATGATTGAATGGCATGAATCCTGATCAAATTCCTGTTGTTTCAGCTTTAACCTAGAATGAGAATATCTGCCTAGGTTGATAAAGCACCCTTAATTGAAGGTGGAGAATTGGTGACTTTAGTCGAGGAGCCAATTCGCTATTCTGTACCGAATTCAATTCGGTAGTGGAGGTTTGGTTCGTTAGGGCCTCAATCTGTTTACTCCGGTGGAGGTTAGTCGCCCGCATGAGACTCAGATTGAAAGGGTCTGGAGACCTTTAGTCGAGACTTCAGACTGTTTAAGAACCTTCCGCAGTATAACTTTCATGGAAACTGAACTTGGTAAATTGCAATCCGGCTTAACTGCAGTCTAGGGGGAACTATATCCGGGTGACCTCTCTCGACTTGAAAACAACCGTTTAACTTGCTTTGTTTGTTTGTTAATTTGGACTTGCACTAAAGTTTCACTGCTAGATAACAAGAATTCACCGATTAGTCATCAAATCTAGGACCCGGGTTGACATTAAAACCCAAACCCGCTATGCTACGTTTTAGGAAGTGGTTACACTTGGCCAATTTCTAGAGTGACAGTAGGAGTGAGTCACAGCACTAGGGTTCAACCTGTGCAAACCGTAAAAATCCACAATTCGGCATCGGATTTCGTTTGAGGGGGTGTATAAGAGATTAAAAGGTTTAACTATCCATTTCCCAACAACTCGAGTTATTGGGACCAAGTTGTTAGTTCGCTAACACGAGAGAGTAAAATGCAGAAGAAGAAGAAGAAGAAGAAGGAGGAGGACAACCGTCGTAAGAGCCGATTCAAAGTTCCATAGATTTCCCCATAAAACCAGACCAACAATATTATCGTCTCTCCATCCTTCCCTCCGCTAGTTTGCCTGCAGCTGCCCATTTAATTCCAAAAATCGATGGACCTGAATAGGGGAATGGGTTTCACCGACGATGGCGACGCGGTGCTGGAGGGTTAGAGAAGTCGTGGTTGGGGGTTGTTGCGATTTGGGGCTAGGGTAGGGGACAACGACTTTTGTTTACTTCTTTTGGGCGTCGGTGGCGGCAGGGGAGAGTAGATGTGAGTGGATAAAGATGGATTTACCTTCACCGATCATTAACTCTCTCTTTCTATATCGCCTCCCTCTACCACAACGAAAAACCCAAATCGTGACCCTCTGTGGTGGCTGTCGATTAGTCTCCGAGTGGGAGAAGAAACGACATGGATGAGGGGAGAACGATGGAGATGAATGGCTATTTTCTTTTTTTGATTTTAATAATTTTCTAGTAATACATTTATAATAATATTTAATTAAAATATCTGATATGTTGATGATGTGACATTGAGATGGAAGTCCAATTTTTGCCAAGTCAGCAAAACGTCAACATTACTTTGACTACCGTTTGGTCAACTGTTATCTTTAACGGTCAATGAAAGTGTTAGGATACAAATGACACAAAACTATTATAGGACAGGATATGAATAGAATTGAAAAAAATAGGACACGACTGACATTTTTTGGATAGTCCGGGTGTTGTAGTGATATTGCCCTATTTAAAAATTCAGTCCAAAAGTGTCAATTATTTCAAACTTGAGGCCAAACTAGATTGTTATCCCTTTGATTTTTCTCTTATACTTGATTATATATATGGTTCACACATGTGTTCCCCTATAATTTTAAAAAATGATAAACATACCTTTAACTTTAAAAATAAGCATTAATCTATGGCAAAAAAAAGCATCAATTACGGTCAACCTCTTTAAGAGAAAAAAGTTAGTAAAAGAAAAATATTCTATTGGCAGAGATTAACTTTAGCACCATACTAAAAAAATTAAGTAAGAGTACTCTAACCTAATCCGGGTGAGCACCCTAACCTTGGCCGGCTTTACCTCACCACCATGGTTGTCAAACCGGTTTCCTGCCGGTCGGTTTGCCCGGGTACAACTGGTATCAGTCACCAAACCGGCTGGAAAGGGGTCGGTATTTAAGTGTGGTCAAATCAGGTCAATGTCAGTCAAATCCGAAAATTTCGATCGGACAGACAGAAACCGGAATTTTATGTTACACACATTTTTTATAGGTATATTACACACATTATATCCAAAAATAAATACCTTCCATAAGATTTCAACCAAATACCTCATGATCATTTTAGTTTCACTAACACCAATAGGCTACAAGCAACTTTGTTGTATACATTAACCTTATATATTACCTATTTAATACTAAATTTTACACAAATCATTATAAACATTAATAAAATTCATTTTATATACTTTTATTTTTAAGCATCTAATTATTTAGTATTAGTTACCAATTCTTATCTATAAATTATTTTGTGTGAAATAATTCTTCTAATTGCTTTTTCATGACTAATTTATTTGGAATTGAGAATTTCCATTTTTTTCATCTATTTTATTATAACCGGCATAACCGACACGAATACTAATTATACCACGGTCGACCATTTCACTTGTAAAACCGACACACCGACATAAACCGGTTTGACAACCTTACGATCACCATGTTTGAAGTAGGGCTGGGAAACAGTCCGGTTCGGTTTAAACCGGACCGGATTGACCCGGTTTTTTACAACCGGATTGGTCATAACCGTAGACGAGATTGGATTGGTACACGGTTTTAACCGTGACCGGACCGGATTGATCCGGTTTCAACCCAAAAACCGGATCTCCTTCATTCAATCCCAAAACTCAGCAGTTTTTACATTAAAAAAAAATACAGCTGTTTCAATAACAAAAAGCCTTCTCCTACCAACCACACGTACAATCCCTAATCTATTCCTACTTCCCAAAAAATCCACCCTATCCTTCTTTTAATCTGCCTTGGCGATTCTTCTTCGCCCTCTTCCTCTCCCTCTCCCTCTTCTGGATCAAACAAAACACAATAAAAGCATCGCCTTCTTCTCACTACTCTGGCTCGACATACCGATGAGCTCGATTGAAGTTAGAGAGGCGAGAAGAGTTGGATCTGGAGAATCGATTGAAGTCGCAAGAGCCGGGAAGGGGAGATCGAGCGAGAGAGGGAGCATGCGAACTCTGTATAGGAGAGGCATGTCGTCGCGGCCGTTGCATGTCGATCGATCGGATCTCCTCGTCGTCACGGCCGTCGCATGCCGATCGATCAGATCTTCTAGCCCTCGTCGTCGCTGCCTGCCGAGTTCTGGTGCCGATCGATCAGATCTTCTAGCCCTCGTCGTCGCTGCCTGCCGAGTTCTGGTGCCGATCGATCAGATCTTCTAGCCCTCGTCTTCTAGCCCTCGATCGATTTGATTTTCTTTCTCCTTCTCCTCCTCTTCGTGTGTGTGGTCTGTGTCTCTGTGATTGGGAATAAGAGAAGTTTGAGGGTCAGAGGGGGAGAGAAGAACAAAGAAGTTGGATCGATTAGGGTTTGGGAAAGGGACCGTGGGCTGGGTTGTGTTGTAAGTGAGGTGGGCTGGGCCGCTGGGGATGGGTTGTGATTTAGCGGGCTGGGCTGGGGGCTGAGATTTATGTATTTGTTGCTATCCGGTTTTTCCGGTTTTAACCGGATTGGACCGGGTCTGTGGGCACTACAACCGGCAACTGGATTGGATTGGTTGGGATCCGGTTTCCAGTTTCAACCGGCACGGTTTTAACTGGCCGGTTTCCGGTTTGACCGGAAAACCGGGATCGGATTCCGGTTTGACCGGAAAACCGGGACCGGATTCCCAGTCCTAGTTTGAAGGGTATGAAAAAAAACCCAAGTACCAGAGTGCCCAAACTGTTATGAAAATATTATTATCATTATGGATGACCAACATTAGATGCTCCATGGTATGTTACAAGTTCTATGTAACTCATCTCCTTATATTTATTTCTTCATATGACACATTAGATGCACAATTGGGTGTTACATGTAACCCCCCACCCCATTTCTATTTCACATTCATTCTCACATTCATGTATATTGATTGTAAGAATGTAGGGGTTATGTGATGTATGCCTATAAATATATGATCTCCTTGTACTAAGGAATACATGAATAAGAAAGCTCTATTCCCCCACTCTTCTTGTGTCTCTACTCTTACTCTTATGTCTGTTGCTCTTCCTTGCTATTTTACAACACGTTATCAGCACGAGCTCTGCCAAAGTAATGGTTGGTCATTGTCTCTCTACATAATCACATATACTTGAGTAAGATCACAACACGATCAAGGTATGCAAATTTTCATGCCATTTCTTGTTAGTATGTTTATCTATCTCATTGTCTTTGAGGGATTATTTGATCATGTTATTTGTTTATATTATTTTATATATGTCGATCTCGTAACATGGAGTTTGTGCTTGGACATTATCAGATAATGAAAATTGCTCCTGTAGTAGCAAAATCATTATAGGTTGACTTATCGATTTCTACATTCGACATATAGAGAAATGAAAGTCTAAGGATCTCATTTTCCCCCGAAGTGGAAAAAATGAAGAAAAAATGTGTCAAATGAAAGAAGTGGATCTGGTAACTAAAATATTGGAATATGAGTTACCATTGCGATGGGGAAAAAATCATTGATCTTGTACCCGATGTATGAAAAGAATTTTTATTGGTCCAAGAATCATTTGAAAGAAAAATGAAAATCTATATGTGCTCCTGCAGTAGCAATATTATCTTAGAGGTTTTACAAAGTGTAAGTTAATTTCTTGTTAGTTAAACGTGAAAAATGTATTGGACTTGTGATGAGAAATATTATATAATATGATCCAAAGGGTGTTGTTTCATTCCTGGAAGCGAATGAAACAAACCATTCTTAAAAGTGAATGGATCGAGACACACCATTATATTAATATAATTTGTTGTTTGGATAACGACAATCAACAAATGTATCTTTTCACCGAAAGTGAAAGATAAAATAATTATAAATGAGGATGATAATTCATGTAGCAAAAGTCATGATCATATATTGTAACCTTCGTATGTCGAAATGTGTTATGAAACACATATATGTTGTTGTTGTTGTTGTTGTTGTTATTATTATTATTGTTATTATTATTATTTTGTATGTTTTTGTATAGAATGAATATTTGCAAAAGTCAATAGTGGTATTATATCATATAGTATGAAAGTAAGCAAAAGCTCCGGAAGAGATTGTGTTTTGTTACTTGAAGTAACTAATCAATATATTGGTGATTATGAAAATATTATTATCACTATGTATATGAGCTTACAATAGTTCACCGAATCAGAAGGTGCCTCATGGCCAACTTGTAGTACAAGAGTATGTGAAGGCTCCAGAAGAGCTAATGTTTTGAGACGTTAATGAACTAAACTGTCTGTTGAAGATGCATTACCGAATTATGAAGATATTCGCAGAAAAGAATATCATAATTGATATTGCATCAGAAATGTGTTATAAGAGAACATATACTTAACTGGAGAAATTTGTACTACATGTATATTAATAGATATGAAAGTGTAAACTAGAAGTTTGCAAGATCGGATAACTTTTTATTTTGGCATGTCCGGTCATACCATCCCGGATACAGATGCGAAAATGATTGAGATATCATATGGAAATTAAGTGAGAGTTCAGAGAATTCATCAATCAAAGGATTGATTATGTGATACATGGTCTCGAGGAGACTATACTCGTGAAAATAATTGAATCTGTTGAGATTTTATAAAAGTGTATGCAGAAAAATACACTCAACGTGCAAATCATATATGAATTTTATGATTTTGATTGATTCATCAACTATATCGTCATATATGTCTGTTATCTAAACGCAACCTGATGTTTGCGAGATTAGTTGCCGAATGATGGATATATTTTGATGATTATCCAATCAAACAGAACTTCTCTTATGAGAACAAACTAAGTCTATCGATCTCTTATCGAGGCTTATGATATCATTAATTCGCATGAAGCCAACAAGTTATCATAAGTTCCCCCTTTTCATACAAATGGTTTTGGTCAGGGACCAAACATTTAAACTGCTAGAAAATTTGGGTGTGCATAATACATCCCAATTGCTCCACCACAACACGTTATGAGTTCCATGAGAACTTATGTTGGACATGGTGTCCAATGCAATGAGAGATTTGTTCATGACTCCTTTTGCTAATATCATCATTTTGATGAGTTACTTCTCGAACGTTAAGGGGGAGAAAAGTAAACAGTTGGGCATAGATGTGAGTTGGAATCATCATTATCGCATTTTGATCCTCAAACAAAGAAACATGAACCCGAAGTTCATATGGTGATTCATGGAGAAAAAAAATGTATTGATTGCCAAACGCCTTTTTACTCACTAAAAGGAGTGATTATGTCACATGCCCAGTTGTGAATGCTCCAATACAAATTGATGTCCATATTGGATAATCTAATGAGTCTAAACGAGCGCATGAAGCGTGGTAGACCAATCGGTTCCAAGGATAGATATCCTCGAGAAAGGAAGGAGCTATAAATTAATATGGTAAACTCGAGGATAAAATAGCTCTAGAAGAGTCAAGTCATAAAATTGAGATCATAGTTCCAGAAGAATAGTAGGTACCTGAACGTTTAAAATGAAGAGATCTCAATTAATTGGCTTGTATGAAGAAAGTTGGAACCGAAGTGTATTTATTGTCGACAAGGGTTTTGATTATGCTGCAACACTGAACGTGATAAATACAAAGAGGATCAAAAGTAAAAGTCTATTGATGCATGCAAAGGAATATATATTGGTCAATATAAAAGAAAGCATTAGGCTATTTGGTATAAGTTTTGGACCAGAAGTCCTTACACCTGAAGATGTAAAACTAATGGGATACAAATAGGTTTTGTGCAAATGCGTATGGAAATTGCGAGAGATATAATACAATTTCTCATGAGAGGTTTCTGGTAGAAACCTGACATCAATTATGAAGAGACATACTCTCTTGTGGTGGATGCAACTATGTTGTGCAATTTAAATAGTTTGGCAGTTCAAAAAGTATGAAATTAGCATTTGGTAGATATTGTGATAGCCTATTTGTATGGATCCCTTGATAATGATATTTATAAGAAAATCCCTGAAGGATTAGTTTTGCCAGAAGCAAACATGTGACGTTCTCGAGAACAATATCGATCGATAAAACAATTCCTTGTATGGATTGAGATAAAATGGATGAATATGGTATATTCATCTAAGTGAATATCTACTAAAGGAAGTGGTCGTATAAGCATTGCGTGATTAAATTCGAATAAAGTGCATTAGAGCATTTGCATTTTGCATGTGTGATTGTGTAATGACATATAGGCTTATGTGCGTGATATTGTGGTTTTAGTTATGTGTTTGATTTATGAATGTGGTTTGGTTAAGTGATGTTGTGTGTATGACGTGCCTTTTGCTTGTGACCTTGTGTTATGAAGTAATTGTTTGCGTACAATTGTGTTAGCTAAGTTTTATAGTTATTTGGAAGAAAAGAGTCGAGACATTATTTTATAATGATCTCATATGTTTTAGTTGATATGAACTCCAGAAGAGCTTCATAAAGCATGGTTTGCTTAAAGAAAGAAAATTGAACATGGAGGATTTAAGAAGATTCTTTTTGGATCAAGACGACAATGTCGGAAAAGTGTTTTGGATCAAGACGACAATGTCGGAAAAGTGAAAGAACAATTTTGTATGGAAAAATTGCATACGTTCAATAGCCAAATGATCATAAGGTCACTAGAAGTGAACAAAGATCAATTTAGGCCTTGAGATAGAAGCGAGTTATTAGGTCCTGAAGTACCATATGCCAATGTCGTTAGAGCAAAAATGTATATTGCTATACTTCATTAAGTTATACTTTGTTACCTATTGGTAACGATGAGGATCATAGATGAGTAATTTGTTTACTCATGGTCGTACAAGTATCTCATGGAGATTTCAAAGAAATCACAATAACAACATCATCTGATCATGAACAATGGTCAACAATTCATGAGACTTGTTATGAATTGTTTGGTTAAGATTTGTGATTCAAGACGTCTAAATGACTTGTGGTTGCGGATTATATTCATAGAAAATGATCTTGAAGATCATGTATGAAGAAAATGGTCCTAATGGATCATGCATAAAGTGACAATCTAGAAGATTTGTTCACTAAGAAGCTTACCATGACAATATTTGAAAGATTTGTTCACAATACTATTGATGTTGTCATGAGGGGGAGCATATACGCACTGCACTCTTTTTTCCTTAACCATGGTTTTTCCCACTGGGTTTTCCTGGTAAGGTTTTTAACGAGGCAGATTCAAATAGCGTATTATGATGATTATGTACTCTTTTCCTTCACTAGGATTTTATCCCACAAGGTTTTTCCTGGTAAGGTTTTAACGAGGCATATTCATGTCTAATGGTCATCCAAGGGGGAGTGTTATGAAAATATTATTATCATTATGGATGACCAACATTAGATGCTCCATGGTATGTTACAAGTTCTATGTAACTCATCTCCTTATATTTATTTCTTCATATGACACATTAGATGCACAATTGGGTGTTACATGTAACCCCCACCCCATTTCTATTTCACATTCATTCTCACATTCATGTATATTGATTGTAAGAATGTAGAGGTTATGTGATGTATGCCTATAAATATATGATCTCCTTGTACTAAGGAATACATGAATAAGAAAGCTCTATTCCCCCACTCTTCTTGTGTCTCTACTCTTACTCTTATGTCTGTTGCTCTTCCTTGCTATTTTACAACACAAACCAAATTCTTTTATTATTTAAATAAACAAAGAAATCTCAGGGTTGATTGGGAATATGCCAAAATGATGATTGGTGGTGATGAATCAGAAGTTCGTACCTGGTTCACAGCTAGCAAGAAGAAAAACAACGGGTCGAGAAAAATGGCCAACAGGCACGAAACGACAAAAAACTTGTTCAACCGCTGAACATTTTCCGCACGAGGATTCACGACCAGGGGATTCAAACTCAAGAAAAATGGCTCATCGCCACTCCCATAATCATCATCCACCGCAGCTTCATCTGGCATTTGGGAATTCTCACCTGAGATAATTGACATTACCACCTCGGCTCTGCCATCATTAGCCATATGCATCTCTCTCTCTCTCTACCTGTTGCGGGAAAAAGAACATTGAACAGGAATCAGTACTCGACCAACAAACAAGTTGCAAGCATAAATAGGACTACAGCACCACAGCTATAGCTATTGACTAAACAAAGTGGTTCAGGAAAATATATATATATAATCGTTACAGCTGTTGACTGAAAAGAACCACCTGAGCTCCAAACTGCAACTCACTTCTTGGGCAGCATGCATTCAGTTACTAACTTTAAGGCTCAACATATCATGAGCTAGCTAGTTCCACCTCAACGGTACAGGGTTGGATGGTCTACCCAAAATTTGACTTTGGTTTGTAAGTCATAACTAAACCGCTGACAGAAGTGGATTATAACGTAACGATTTAACATTAGGAGATTAGTACGGTAATTTAATTTATAATTTCAAAAAAACCCGTAATTACACTGACTTTTAAGATCGTACGCACGCCAAAGATTAGTGGGTATACAACATACACCATATATATATACAGAGGATTTTAATATATAAATTATATATGGAGTCCATTTATGATTAAAGATAAATCATTTATTGTAAACCATAAAACACTCATTTATGGATGATTCCAAATAAATTTTAGAATTTTTCAGAATATTTCAAATTTCAAATATTATATACAAATAAAATCATTACCTAAAAAATTTATATATTATTATGAAAGTATATATGTGGATGCCAATTGACTCCACTTCCCAACTGCCATCTCCTCCTCATCGTTATGGCATTGGATCCCAATGCTCCATTTTGCCTATAAAAGGCAATACCTACAGAAGTAGAAGACACATCAATTCACTTCTCTTCTTCCTCACTTCTCTATGTATTTCATCTTGGTTCAATATAATCAATTTACGAGAGTATGGAATAAAAGCGGTGTTACTCCATCTCTTCTATTTCGTGTTAATGGTGTTGTTTATTTCCACAGTGGGAATAATTATTTATAACATATATCTTATATACTATTTTAATTTTATGGACTTATAACTAAATAATTAGACCCAAAACTTACAGCCACGAGTCTATTTCTAGTAAGAAATAAACCACATTATAGCTACAAGAAGATTAGTGGCAAATCAATAATTGAAATTAACTTATTTGTAAGATATGTTTTCACTTATTACTTTGTAGCTAATAGTTAGATACAACCGCCTATTTTCCCTTTTACGAAACAAAATAATTTCACACTTTTGCTTCATCAACTTCCCTTCTGTAGCAATCATCTCTTATCTTTTAATTTGGCTACAATATATTGTATTTACAGCTAAATATTCGGAGTATAGCAATGAAGAGTAAAAAATTTAGCTGGGCCACTTTTAGCTACAAACTAATTTACTCGTAACTAAAAGATTTATGAGAAGATTGTTGCCGTGCAGTTCATGGTGTAATACTGAATTCGAACCTGGACCAAGAAACTAAATAACTGAAATATCCTCCACTAGTCCAAGAAAGAAACCAGTGTTGCCGTGCAGTTCAGGTGAAAGCGTGAAAACGAGAATTCAAACAAGACCAGAAGCTGAGACTCTCACGCTGTCACTCACCACAACTCGATAGCTAACGAACAGAATTTTGATCCTCCATTGGCGGCCGGAAGAATTATGCTCTGGCAGGATAAAATTAGAATCGCAGAATTTAAATTTCCTCAAGAAAATTAAATGAGAAAGAAGATGAAGATGAACCTGAACCTGAACGAGCTGCTGCTGCAGGTCAAGTTGCAGGAACAATGGGGAATGAAAGCGGAGAGACGAGCACAAGGAAGGGGTAGTGAAAGAAAGGTCTAGCGAAAGCTCTGATTCATACTTTGTGGAAACTTGGATGGTGAATTAATGGTGATCAGGTGATGTTGGTTTTATGATGATGATGATGATGAGAATGGAGCAGAGTGAGAGAGATTGGACTGATAGCCAGGGAGCTACTGCGCAGTGCTAGTGTGCTACTAATAAATGCCGCGACAGACAGGGAGCTATTACGCAGTACTACTAATAAATGCCTCATGCCTAGTAAGCAGGCCGTACCGGCAATTCGATCGTAAAAATATCTGACAGAACAATAAATTCGGATGCAATTTTTTAGTGGTAGAAACTGTTAAATCATGGTTTCAGCACAAAGTATCATACTTTCAATCTTTTTGATACAACTCCTCATGCGGACTCTCACTTTTTGTTTATTAGTGGAAGAATTATATTTTCTTTATGGTCACCCGAATTCCGTTGTATGTACGTGGGATGAGGCAACTAGGAGTGAGTCTCACTCGACAGGTGGAAATGATATAATTATCATGAATTAAGGAAGGCAGTATCTCTTGACTAGAAGAGTGCAGTTAGGGTGTTGAAATAGTTATTATGATAATTATAAAATCATTTAAGGTTAAATTTGATTATATATGATTAAAATACCATACCGTATCAATTATCTTAATACTATCAATTAATATGATTATACTAACATCACCAACTTTGTTTGAACCAAGGATTAAAATACCATACTGTACCGGCGGTTCGACCGAAAAAACCTCCTACCAGAAGTAAAACCGGTAAACGATATTTAGCGGTATAATACAGTTGAACCATAATTAAACCACGGTTTTAACATAAAATACCCTACTGCTGGATTTTCCTATACGACCTCCCATACGATATTTCAATCCTTGGTTTGAACACACAATCCGGACCGGAGCAGCTAAATAATCTTTGTGTAAGCAAGGCTGGCATTTAGCCAACAATGATTTGGTCGCCTCCTCATTATTGCAATTGTTTTTGAATTGCATTTGTACTTTTTATTGTAACTTCAACTTTTTCAATCAAATTCACATTACTTTCATTCACCTATATCAATGTAATTAACTTGTGATTGTATATGTGAGTCCAATTATTTAAAAACGAAAAAAAAAAATTAATAAAAAGTGATGGATGTCTAGTGACGAGCTAGAGATATGAACGAGTGAGGCTAAAATTTAGTTTAAAAGGTTGGAGCTCAATAGGGAGGGGGTTTAAAGCCTTAACACCTAGTCCACCGCACAACGAGAGAGATCGATATTATTTCAACATACTTCAATACATACAGAGGTCGACTATGCTTCAATATATATACCAGCCGAACCCTAACTCCCAAAAACCCCAAACCTCTACTCCAAGGTTAATACAATTATGTTTTAATACACATACTTCTAACATCCTCCCGCAAACTGATAATGTTCTTGCAACATCAATTTGTGTGCAAGAAACCAATGACGAGTCGATGAAATCTCCTTGGTTAGGAGATATGTCGTGTGATTTTCTGAAGTAAGATACAAAACCTTTACAGAGTCAAGAACCAGTTACTCCCAATAACTCGAGTTCCTGAAAAAGATTAAATAATGAATCTTACACCACTCACAAACCACTTACACCTACCTACTTCTCGTTTCGATCTCTCTTTTTTTTCACACAAAGGGGTTCGGCATATGCTTATATTCATATTTCCCTCCAAAATGGCAGGTTTACTATTCAAAATTCCTCAAATACCCTAAGGGGTCGTTTGGATCAGGAAATTGATTTTGAGAGATTTTTCAAGGATTTGAGCTCAAATCTCTGATTTAAAAACCTAGATAATTTTAATGAGGAATTTGGGCCAGTTAACTTGTTTGGTAATACATGAGGAATTTGGGCTCAAAATGTGTAAAGACCATTTTACCCACTTATCTTCTTCCTCCTCTCCCGATATCTGCTTCCTGAACGAAACATTGATTGGAAGGCCGGCGACCTTGATAATTTGGCGACCGCCGGTGGCTTCGTTAATTGCCAGTGAACTCGCGGAGGACCGGAGACTATGCTAAGGCTGGTGAACTCACTCAATCCGGTAGAGGAACACCTTGAACCCATTTGACAGAGAGCGGCGCCAGTGAGCATCAGAACTAGAGACGTAGAGCGGCGCCGGTGAGAATCAGATCTGGGAGATGTTCGCTCACTCTCCTCTTTCTCGACTCTCATCGTCGCAAAGAACCAGAGATGAAAAATGTGGCTGCGCCGCTAGCTCTAGATCTGCCTCCCTTCCCCTCTCTTCGTCGTCGATGGGACCCAGAAATCGATGTCGGCTTCGGCAGGAGCTTGGAGTCTGCGGCAGTTTTTGCGAGATGCCCATGATGAAATACCCGAAACAGCCCACCTAGAAAATCCCTCTATCGATTTGAGGAGATCCCCCAAATCAGGCCGCCATTGTTGTTGTAGATCGGAGCTAGTCAAACTCCATTGAAATAGCCAACGAGATGCGCGTCGTAGCCTTGCGAGCTTGCTTGATCTCGTATAGGGACAGAAAGGGAGAAGGGAAGGATCGTAAGGAGGAACTGGGATAAGAGGGGCATAGATTGGGAAAAAAATAAATAAGATGAGGTATTTAGAAATACTTGGGGGTAATTAGCTATTTCAAATTTCTTAACATCAGGGTTTTCAAAATTCCTATTGCTAAAATACCTAATTCTTTTATTCCTATCCAAACGAAGGATTATGATAAAATCCCTAATGACTAGAAATTGTGGTAGAATCCCTGCATAGATTCCCTAATCCAAACGACCCCTAATATTTAACTAAATTCCCGATCTATCCTACATTGAGCAAAAACACTTGCGCGTTTATAATAATTACAAAATCGTTTTCATTATCAAAATGCATAAGCCGAAGCATTTCAATGCAAAATCGCTTCGACTAAAGGTGGTTTGTTTGTAGGATTTTGATGAGTGATTTTGTCTCAAAATTTCATATGGGTTAGATTATGCTCCAAATCCATGTTGTTGATAAAAATGAAGTTGGCCTAAGTTCGTGAGCCCACAAATGTGGAATTTTCTTTTGCTCAAAATCCGTGGACCCCACGGATTATAAAATCTCACCTAAGATTTTGAGAAGTGCCAGAATTAATGAACCCACTAATTTGAAATGACCAAAGTATCCTTAACAAATAAAACAAAAATACTATATTAAGGATAAGAAGAATGGATAGGAATGTAAACTCATCAATTAACCCATAAATCCAATATAGTAAAATCCATTTTGAAATCAAACAAACAAAAATGTAATTTCTAAAATCCAACATGTACCCAAAGTAGCAAAATTCAACATAATGCTTCAATTTCAAAATCCAAGATTATACCTTTTCCTTAATTTTTAAAATTCAACAAGCAATAAAAGCTTTTTCTTCAAGCCAAGGTTGTCAACCGGCGGGCTGACCAGGACCCGGTCGAGCTAGTGGGTCAAGGGTTAATGGGTCACCCATTTTAGCCCGGTTTATCCCGGGAATATGGAAAGAGTCATTATATTGTACTTATTCTCATAAATTATACCAAATCTCATCTAACATATGAGTTATAACATATAATATTACACCAAAATAGCATGTCGTACTTAGATTCAACATATAGTGAAAATTCACACACACTTATATAACACCATTATTCAAATGTTCAACTTAAGATTCCAAAGATTGGGTTAGGCGAAAGAAAAATCTGAAAATAGGCGCATTTCGCAAACCAAAGACAAAAATTACACAATATGACCTCCAACCCGATACCTTGTAGCGGTCGATCCGGCGGGTGCGTACGACCCGTTTTTCTCACCGGGTTAGGATCAAAGTGGGTCGACCCGTGAATCAACCCGCGGGTTGACAACCTTGCTTCAAGCACATGTACCTTGACCAGTTGAAAGCCAAACAGTGGCCATGTGCAGTGACCAGTTGGAAGCAATTGTTCCATGCAAGACACTGGCTGACTGGCAAGTGACAAGGGTACGACGGTCGCTGAAGAAATAAGTGCAAATAATGAATGAATGAATGGTGATATGCTAGGCACCACTCGTTCCAGCTAGATGCGAAACGAGCAACTCCAAAAGCTATAGGCTATAGCTTGCCGGTTTCGTGATTGGTCATGAATCATGAATCATGATTCATGAATCAATGATATACTGGACACAGCTTTCCTAAACCTCTGTAACTCAGTTTCCGAAGGATGGACAACCCGAGCGTGGGAAAATGTGGAGAAAGTTGTGGGTCCATCATTATTTTTCTTATTCTTTTAGCTCCCATCATTCATCAATATTGTGGGGAAATTTTGGGAGGGAGAATTTACTATTCAAGTGTGTTATATTATTTTACGCAAGAGAGTTATATGAGATGTAAAAGTGTGTTACATTTTTAGTAAAAATAAAATTAAAATGTGAAATTTTTATAAAATAAATGTTATCTTGTACAACAGAAGTAATTCAATTTCTATGAAATTTTTTTTAATTAAGTTAAAATGAATAAAATTTTAAATAGTGAAAAAACATTAATAGAAACGAAATTAGCAAGAAAATAAATAAATTAATCCACTATTTGTTAAATAATAAAATAATGTCAACACATACTTCAATTATTTACCATTACATAACTAATAACATATCTATCACACTTCCCAATATATTTTTGGTTTAATACACTTGTATATCCAAAACTTTCACGGTTGTGCCAATAATATCCAAATTTCCTGAAATGCCACTTATAGCCATGTTCTAAAGTTGTTCTTTGCCAAATCTATCCATTTCCGTTAGAAACTTTAACGGTGTTAATAACACCGTCAACTTATTTGACGGTTCGCTGACTAGACGCCAACTCAACGGACATGTCAGCGCCAAATAGGCAAATAATGACACATCAGATATTTAAATTAATTATTATTTACACATCATAATTATTAAAAAAATCACCCTAATATCCTCCATTTCGCACAAGCTGAATCCCCCAACTTTTCCCCAATTTTGAAATTAGGGTTCTTCCCCTCTTCCGCCTGTTCAGCCGCCTCCATCCACCACATCTCGTTGCGGCTACTGGAGTCAATAAACGAGAATTGCAACAACGGCGGACTCCTCCACAACCAGAATGGTGGTGCCGCCGTGGAGCTGAATCGCGACCCGGAGGACGA